TTGAAATTGTTTTAATGTTCTCTCGAGGCCTCTGGCGCACTTTCATTTCACACGTTTCTGTTTTGCCTCTGGTTCACTTCACATATTTATAATATTCTTATAATATGCCGTTAGCGTTATTTGGAAATGGTATATAATTATTTATCTTTGAATTGATTTACTTGTTAATTTCAACACAATACTGTGGTAGAAAAAAATAAAAAATATGTGGGTTTCCGGTTTCTTCGTATAAAAACTTAGGTAGGGTAGGTCGGTTTCCGAACAAGCTGACGCCGTTTTGTTTAGTCAGTGCTTCCACCTCCAAAGATAAATTTCCCTAATATTGCCTCAAATTTCAATTTTCCACAAACTTTTTCCTCTAAGTGGAAACACTTACAAGCATGATCCAATAAAAAAGTTTAGGGTCGGGATTTCGACGTCCAAAAGCTAGGTAGGGGCGGGAAACCGGAAACCCACATTTTTTTTTTTGGCCTAGCTCCTTTTGAGGTCTTCTCGCGCACACGCTTTATATAAATAGATACAAGCCAAATGGACATTGAATCTCTGTTGATTGATTATTGATTCAAAAATTGTTTATAGACATCGCATATTTTTTTTAATAGGTTAAATTATTGTATAATTCATCGTTTGTATTAAACACTAGGTAGTAAGGAGTGTATAAGGTACAAAAATTGTTAGGGAATCTACAGTATAGAATTTAGATAACTAATATGCTTTTCCTATTTTGTCTACACGCAAGTAATAATGGCAAAATAGTGCACAGTATGTCCTATAATATATAATTCAATATTCATTTATACGTCTTTTATACCTTGCCAATTGGCATTGAATGCAAAAGAATAACAGCAGATATAATAGAAAAATACTTTCCTATATAAAACCTTATAACGGTATAAAGTGCCTCTACACTTTGTCAGGGTCATATTATACATAATTCATATAAGTCCCACATAGACACAGCATTACTCGATAAGTTTTTATAAGCATTTTAAAGTTTCTATTGATATATCGGCTGTTTGTCTCTAGCATAGTTGGATGAAAACTTCTAAAATATGATGAAGATTGAAGTTGATATAAATATTAACACAGCAGCATGATTCAGGTCGAAAAAAGCAGTATTATTCTGCTATAAAAGGCCAATTGCAATGCCAATAAAGGTCTTTATAAGATTTATAATGTGCCTGCTGAGATTGCTGCACGTAAAACATGATATATTAAATATACTATAAAATAAAATAAAATACTTGTGTCTGATGTTTAGCTGCATGTATGTATCGTATTATATATTATCGTTGTACCGCATAGCCATAGCACGCACGGAGAAGTCTTGGCGTAAACGAATGGCGTTCATAAGATAACCAATAGAGTTCACTGGTGAAAACAGATAGCTATACTTCGAAATAAGTCTTGCTCGTTGAGTTTCAGCAATGTCCAGAGAGCAATGTTAATGCAAGGAATTTTATAATCCATAAGAACACAGGTTTTTAATAATCCTGTGCTATCACAAGTCAAGATACAGTAGCATTGTTTACAAACAGTTGGCGATGTTTCGGAAACCAAAAGATCACGTTATAAAAAAATCCGTTTGAATATCGGACAGGATACATTTTAATTTGACGGCCAGATCGTTCGTTTGATCGGTTGGTCGGTGTGGAAGATATTAAAGTAGCTTTTATGATGAAGCGTGCTCAACTTCGCAAGCTGTAGGTAGCGTGTGGTGTCCTTTTCTTGCAATTGAAATATGATTCAGCTTCTTGTTTGAATAACTCAACACTCATTATTGATGACATTGATATAGCAGGAAGTCGTGTCATGATAAATAGAATTTTTAGTTCACAGTTTATTTCACGATTTCTTGTTGTAAATTACATTTTTATCGCCAGAAACTGGAACACATAAGTTGCAATTTTCCAAACACGACAAACCACTCTTCTACCACCCTACCCATAGACACAATTTATTTTAGCACGCAGAATCTGCGTGCCACGTGACCAGCCCCAGCCAGGGTATTTGCTTCACAAGAGCAATGAGCCTGGGAACGAGGTTGAAACAAAAGTTCAAATGCCAGTGAAAGAACTCAAACGTTGTTAAATTAAGAAGATATCTCATAGTTCAGGAAGATTATATTTATAATATTGCCACCTGAGCAACCTTTTGTTTACGATTATATCACAATTTATCACTCAAAAAATAAATAGTTTTGCTGAATCATGACTTAAGTTCATCTCCAGGCAAAGCAGGATCATGTAAACAACCTCTTAAATGAAGCCGGCATGCCGTGGTAATATAAAGAATCAATCTGGAGTAACATGATTACAAAATTGCTGTATTGCATTCTTACCATAGTGTTTTACTAGTTTACAGTGCCTATGAATGCCTAACATATTCTACCAATTCATTGGTCACATCATAGACGGATTTTCATATTTTTTACTGGTGTGGTGCCAGAAATTTTAGGGGGGTGAGCCGTGAGCGGTGACTGAAGCAACACAAAGTGTCGCCAAACCCCAGTAAGGTCTATATTCTAGGAGTGGAGCACTAGAGCCGCGAGGGGGAGTCTAGAGAGCAGAAAACAAAGTATCCCTGGTGAAATTTGAAAAAAATCATGATTTCTAGCTTCGAAAAAAAGTTTTTTGAAGTTGTCATATCAATGGATTTGGCATGTCCGATTGTCTGTTGAGACTTGAGAGAGTTAAAGTTAAATGAACCTGTAAAAGTGTAAACCCAATAGGCCAATACACAATATGTTTTTATTTTTATAAAGTCATTGAGTTTGTGTCAAATCCAAGTACAATTTATGATGCAACTCTGATGTAAATAATATTTGGGGCATAAAGATTAAATCTAGGCAAGTCTATTTCCTAAAAGAATTTAAAACTAAAAATAATTTTCGTAAAAATTCCAAACGTTCCTTGCAAGCAAGCTTTGCATGACAAGGCACTGCAAACTCTTTTCAGGGGAGATAATAGAGTTTCAAAGCGAGGAGCAATTAGTATTGCACTGTAGTGTACTCCTACGTTTATTTAGTATCATCAACACGTTGGAGTAGACTATTTAATTATTTTTTATTTTGCCGAATATTGGAGGAGTTGAAAATTTTTTTGGAGGGGTGGACATTTTGTTTCGGGTGGTTATAGCTAATATTGGGGGGTGCCCCGCCTATGGGGCACATGAACCAAAAAAATTAAAAAGAATTAATATTGAATTATGAATATATTAAGTGTAAAAAACTAAAATTTAAAAAAAATGTATATTGGTTGGTGCATGTGAGCACATGAATACACCCTTTCGGTAATTAGGTGTAAAAAAATACCTGTGGTTCCGGTTTCATATCGTGAAAAAATTAGGGTTGTTAGGTCGGAAATAAATTTTTTTTTGAATATTTTTTTTCATGGTTTTGGCGTTTTTTTGCTGGGCGATTTGCAGTAGAGTCCCGACATCAATATTAACTAGAGATGCGTATTTCCTATGGACGAATTTAGGCAATTTCGTTCAATAATTAGTGTGACAACAGACGTCATTTTGGCACGCTGTATGAGCAGCCCACAACCACCTGGAGAAAATAGGGTCCCACGGTCATCAGCGTTGAAAAAATAATAGGATCGGCAGAAAAAAATAGGGTGGTCGGGAACCGGAACCATAGGTATTTCTTTTTACACCTTACATCGTTTGGCCTGGGAGCCTTGCTCTCAAGAATCATGAGCCAATCACCTCACATAATTTACTGATGAGAGCAAGGCTCCAAGACCGACAAGTATGTGTGACGTAATTATTCGAAAGATTGTATTGATTTGGTAGAATATTTTAGGAACACTTCCATTGCCACAAAGTATAAGGGACCGTTCATTAATTATACGTCAGGGTGGGCTGGAGGAAAAAGAGCAGAAACGGTGCAAGTTTTCCGTGACCCCCCCCATTAAGGTGTTAATTTTTGCATGACCCCCCCCCCTAACCGACATTTTTTTTCACAGCCCCCCTATTTATTTTCACCAAGTCGTACAAATTTTTCCCAAAAATGTTGTCACATTGGCAAAAGCATAGTCTAAAGCAACGCTTCCAATTTCTTCACCACAAACATAACAAAAGCTTTAAAACTGTTAAAATTGCAAACCATTTCATCAAATGGTTTTGGTTGTGAAGGCTTAATATTTGAAACTGGTCAACCTAAAATATTAATAATTACCACAAATAATTTTGGCAACCCTTGCCACCCCCCTTTCATGCTGAAAACACTTTAAAGGCCCCCCCTTCTAACCATAAAATGTTTTGGCAACCCCCCTAATTTTCCTCCAGCCCCCCCCTGGTCCTTAATTAATGAACGGTCCCTAAGTAAAAAATTGATTAATATAAGCCTTCTGAAGCTGTTGTCATTAACAAATTAACCAGCATTTCACAAAAATTTCTTGACAATAGTTGCCAGGTTAGCCTGGCTCCTGTGAGGCAAATGACAAACTAGTCCTGAAAAGAAAATCCAGCCATGTTTGCTGGGCTAGCATGGCCCATTTTGACAGCCCATAACAGGGAGAGCTTATTTTTGGAAGGGAGATCTGATTTTTGGAAGGGAGGCCTATTTGTGAGGTTACTGGGGGCTTAATATTGGATTGCATTATATAATATGTGTAAAATATTCATTTGTGCACAGGTATTCTGGTAATGCACAAATTTATGGACTAAAATGTTTCAATTATAGTAGATCGGGATCTATTGGGGACCTGTTTATATGATCTAGACTATCCAGAACACATGCTTGAAGCCTAATTCATGTTGCCTGTTTGGTATACAGTGTTTATTGATCCTTATTGCATATGGTGAATTTCTTGGCTTACATATAGCCAGGATTCTGGCAATGGAAACCTCACGCTTAGCTAGGCCGATATTAGCAGGATAGGATGGAACATACTGGCAAATGTCGTCTCCCACCTAGCCAGGTAATATGAACAGGGCCCAAT